CCCCGGAACCGGAAGGTCCTGCGGCTCCCCGCCCGGTGCTTCTCCATGTGCCGGTCGTACTGCTCCTTCTTGGAGAAGGTGTAATTGCAGGCGCTGCAGATGAAGGACTTCTTTATCACGTGCATGACATCGGCGCAGAGCTCGCAGGCGTAGAGGGTGGTGTGCTTGACCTCCGGGGCCTCGGCCGCCGGGTGCTCTTGGCTAAGGTGGCGCCGCAGCTCCTGGGTCTCCTGGTAGAACATCGGGCACCGGGGGCAGAGGTAGATCTTCTGGAAGCTGTGCACCACCAGGTGGCGCTGGAGCTTGAAGGGCTTGGGGAACTGCTTCCCGCAGTGGTGGCAGTCGCGGGAGGGATCCTTGCACTCCGGGTGCACCGGGTGCGCCAGCTTCTGGGCCCCTTCGGCTTTCAGGGCAGGGTCCGGGGAAGGCGGGCTGGGCGAGGGGGCAGGCGGCGGCGGCGTCCTCTCCAGGGCCCCCGGGGGCCCCCCCTGGCCGAGGGCGCCTTCCTGCCCAGGAGGTTCCCGGGGGCCTTTCCTCTCTGGGCCTGCGGGCCCTCGGCTCCCTGCCTCCGCCTGCCGGGAAGCCTTGCTGGGCTTGCGATAGATGATGGAGTTCAGGAAGCTGGTGACGGCGGCAGCGTCTTCACCGAAGCAGCCGGGCAAGGCCAGGAGAGACTTCTGGGCCTGGCCTTTCCGGGCGAACTGGGTGGCGTGCTCCCGCAGGTGCTCATTGTACATCCCGACGCCCGAGATCTCCTTCAGGCACATCCCGCAGGCCCAGAGGCCGGCTTTGCTCTTGGCGTGCTTCGCCTCCAGGTGGTCCCGCAGCTGCTCCCGCGAGCTGAACCTCCTCTGGACGCACATGTAGCAGGTGGGCGGAGGCGAGGGGCTGTGGCTCAGCTTGTGGAAGTCCAGCTCTCCCAAGGTCCGGAACCACTGGAAGCAGACCTTGCACTTGTACTGCTTGTCTTTGGCCTTGAGGGTCGGGTCGCTTCGGGCTTTGCTGGGCTTCCCTTCCTCCGGCTGGCTTTTCGCAGGCCTGCTTGGCAAGGCGGGAGGCGGCTGGAAAGCAAAGGCGTGGGCACCATCGTCCCCTGCCTGGCTGAGGGGACCTTCCCCGTCCCCCCCACCGCAGAGGCACAGGTCCCTCATTTCAAACTTGGCCTCCAACATCTCCATATCAATGGTGTGAAACGCAGGCGAGGGCCGGCTCCCCTCCGTTCCGGCTTCTTCTTCGAGGTCAGGAGGTTCCGGACTGGTGTCGGCAGCCGAGCCCTCCACGGCAAGCTCCTGGCGAGGGCTGAGCGATGCTTCAGCCACAGGGACGTCCTCTGCTTTCCTCTCGGGGCTGCTCCAGCGGCTGAAGCCTGGGAGAGACCTCGCCGGGTTCTTCTGCTCCAGGAAACTCAACTGGCCCGCAGCCTCCACATCTCTGCCGTCCTCCCTTGGTCCAGCATCCGGCCGCAGAGCCAGGCCGTCGGCGGATCTGGAACTGACCTCGCTCACGCCTGTGCTGCTGCCGTGACACATGTTGAGCATGAGGGTGTCGTTGAGGGAGATGGTGTCGTACTCGCACGGATCCTCCCTGGTGACGCAGAGAGAGCCGGTATCCCCAAGGTCCGAAGCCATCCGGATGGTAAAAGGGTCCGCTGTGCCACCTTCCGGCTTGCTCTTCCACTCTGCAGCAGCTCTGAGTAGTTTCTTGGCCCGCTTGCCATACACACGCGTGCATTTCCTACGGGCAAACCGGTCGTTTCTGGGGAAAAGCTGTGAAAAAGTGGCGTCGTCATCCAACAAACTCTGCAGGTCGGGGGCTGCGCCTCCGCTTCCACGGGACTCCGCCTTGGGTGAAAGGTCTTCCATCCTCCAGGACTCGGCCTCCCCAGGAGACGGACAGGCAGCCTCGGTTGCTTCGCCTGAGGCAACGTCAGGGAGACCCTTGTCAAGGTGCTGGGAAGCTTGGGCAGCGGAGGGGCCTGGCAGGCTGTTTGGTGGCACCGTCCCCTTCCTCTCTTCCGAATCCCTTCCTTTCGTCGGCCGAGACCCTTCCACAGCTTTGTGGCCTTCCTGTTCCTCACAAGCCCTGTTCGCTCCTTCCTCCCCGGCGTCCTTGGATGCCCTTGGACCCTCATCCCGGGTGGTCCATGTTCCTTTTCCTCCTGGCTCTCCTGCCAGCTCCGGGCCGCTCTCGGCGTCGTGGAGAGGCTCCTCCTGCGCAGGGGCCCCATCCGTGGAAGGCCTTCTTCCAGCACCTCCTTCGGGTCCCTTAAAGGTCAAAGGGCAAGGCAGCCAAGAAGAGCTTCCCTGCCCTTTGGTGGCAGGGGTTGGAAAGAGGTCACAAGTCCCATCAGAGTGAACGGAAGGGACTTCAGTCTCCTGAGAAGACCCGGTGGCCTCCTTTTGGTTAGAGGGCCCTTTTCCTTTCCCCTTCCTTGCTTTTCCTTTTAGTTTCCTTCCAGCAAAGCTCCCTGACTCTTTGGCACCGGCTTCTCTTCCTTTTCCTCCTGTGGTCGCCTTTTTGGGAGACCTCGATGACGCCAACCCCTCTGATCCATCAGCCCAGGAGCTCCTAGGCTTGGTTTTAATCTCCTTACTGGGACCGTCTATCCTTTTCAGTTTGTGAGAGATGGCGGATGAAACGACACTTAAGTTGCCGAGCACCTTGCTGACGACCTCTTGGATCTCTCTGCTGGGCTCCTGCCTTTGGCCCCGACAGGGTTTTGGGAAGGGTCGGCCACTGGCTGCCTTCGAAACCCATGAGCTGCTGGCCTCCTCTTTTGTAACAAGGGCCTTTCTGTTTTTCCTAGAGAGTCGCTTGCTTGGCTCTAACATTTGTTCCGGCGGAGCAAAGCCAGGATCCTGTAACGAAGGGTCAACGTTCTTCTTCAGATGTTTCACAGCTTTGTGTCTCATCAACCCGACTTTTGATTTAAACGGAATGAAGCAAAGGTCACAGACAGAAGGCAACCCTCTCCTCCTCTTTGCCAGCTGTCGCCCAGTCTTGGAGGCCTCCCGTGGACTTTCTCTCTTGCTTTCTTCCAGCCCTGTGCAGCTGGGGAGCCCTTCTCCATCCTCCTTCCCTTCTGAGTTTTTCTTCTCCAAGTCGGGGCCTCCACAGTCTACCCCTCGCAAAGCACCCTCCAGCCCATTCTTGGCCCTTTCAGGAAAGTGATTGCGGCCTGGCTGGTCTCCACCAGCATTCGCCACTCCTGTGAAGTTTGCCCTTGGCATCGCTGGCACATGGGCATCTCTGCTAAGGACCTCTGTTTGAGTTGGATGGTGGGGGCAGTTTTTATTTTCCTCTCCTGCCAGGTTATTTGGTGAAAACTCCACATTTTGACCAGCTCTTCCGTCAGTAAGCAGAGCAGAATCCGCCTCCGATGGAGACCGGCCAGGGAAGATGTTTTGCCTGGAGACCGGCGCAGGCCTGGTGACTGTGCCCCTCTCACTACACTGGCTGCTCTCCTCATCGTCCAGAGGTTTGGGTGGCTCTTCCAAGTCAGAAGGATCTTTATTTCCAAAAGGTGGCACATGGAGGGGTCGGCTGCTGTCTCCCTGGAGTTCCCTGAGAGGCCCTGTGCCTACAAGAGGGGCGGCTAGATCAACGGAGCAGCATGCCACAGAAAAAGGAGAGGTCTGAGGACCTGCCAAGTCTTGGGCCACCTCCTTGGCACAGCACTCCTGCCCGCTGGCAGTCACCTCTGAGGTCAGGGGCGAAGGGATGGGGGAGAACTGTGGCGCCCCTTTCTGTTCTTTGTGCTCTGAAGGAGTCGATCTCGTGTTCCCAGGGGCACCCTTTCCGGCCCTAGGGGAACCCTCGCACGCAAGGAGCGGACTCGCTTGGCCCTCTGCAGCATTCAGACAGCGAGTCTCTTCAGCCGGTGGAACTCCAAAGTCAGAGCCGGCCACCCTTCCTGGGTCCTCCTCCCGTGAGGAGTCCTTCTGCTCAGCAACGTCGACATTTAGGGGAGGACCATCCGGAGAGGCTTCTCCACAGCAACCCGCCTGCTTCTTCTCCAGACTATTCTCTTGTGCCAAAACTGGGCCAGTTCCCAAACGGAACTCTGTTCCCTGTGGAAGGTAACGGTCCTCCGACGGAGGGAGGGAGGGAGCCAGGGACAGGCCGGGCCGGAGCTGTCCCGTCTGGGCCCCGTCCTTTTCATCCCGGTGGGTTTCCTTCGTCTCCAGCGCTTGGCCCTCAGGGCAGGCGTCACCCCAAGGAGCCCGGCAGGGGACGCGTGCCTTGAGCAGAGTTGCCGGCGCACCACCTGGCGTTTCATTCCCTGGGGAGACACGGCTGACAGGGGACTTCCTCTCACTCTGAAATGCCAAGGCCACTTTCTCTGGACTTTCCTCCGACTCTCCCTTAACCTGGCCTGCTGGTGGTCCCTCCTCCTCCCTTGGTGACAAGATTGTTCCTGAGTTGCTGTGGGTGGCGAGGGGGCTGCATTCTGGGGAAACGTCACCTGGGGGAATATGCCTGCCTCCTTCCTTTGAGCATCCTTCTTTTCTAGGCTGCCGCTGCCGTCCCTCTGCCATGGCGTTGTGTCGTTCCGGACTCCGCAGCAGCGCTTGCCCTGCAACGCAGGAGGAAACCTGCTCATGTAGCTGCTCGCTTGGCTTCTCTGGCTCCAGAACTTGCTTTGTGGGGTCGGAGGCTTGGGTCGTGCGATCCGTCTCTTCCTCGGCTAGCAATGCCCTCCTTTGCTCCAGCGCAGGATTATTGCTCACCTCTTCTCCTTCTCCCGGCACGGCACCTGCAGGCTCCTTTTCCCATCCAGGATCCACACCAGGTTTTCTGTGCAGGTGGGGGGTGGGAAGCACCACCGGAAAACGGGGAAGGAGCAGATCCTCCCCATTGTGTTCGGCTGTCCGGGCCACAAGCAACTGCAACTGCTGCAAAGGGTCGGCTGCCTTCTCTTCGAGATCCGACTGGTATTTGGCCTCCTCTGAGTAGGCCAAGGACTCAATAGGCACAGCTGCCCCGCCGCCAGCTGTGCCGTGGGCTGCCGGGCTTTGGGAAACCGCCTGGCTGTCACCGGGCTGGACCTCCAGAAGCCCAGGACCCTCTGGGCCGCTCTGGAGGGGTGTTGCGCTTGCTAGCCTTTCAGGGGACCTGCTCTCAGGAAACTCCTTCTCCTCCGGGCAGACAGGGCTAGGAATTCCAGAAAGCACATGGCCCTCTGACGCTTCTTGACCAGTCACATCTCCTTGCCCACATCCTGGTTTCAAGCACGGAGCCGGGCGGTGGTACAATCCCAGGCCTTCCGCCTCCTCCAAAATCTTCTCCGTTGGTGGAAATTCCAGGAAGGCGTCTGCCGTTGACGGGGAAGCCCTGTGTGTCGGTAGCTCGGGGGGCTCTAGAGTTTTGAGGAGCAGTGGGTCAGGGCTCTGCATCAAATGCTCCGCGTAGCTGGCGACCCCAATGCTGAGGTCTGGGAGGCAGGAGTCGGCCACGGTGCCAGGAGGGTCATTCCTCATCCCACTGAAATCGACGTCCCCAGAGAGCTCCGCATCCTTCAGAGTTTCATAAAGTTTTTCTGGGTCCCCTTTGGCGCTAAAGGGATCGGCCAGCATCAGTCCCGAAGCAGAGGGTGGGTGGAGGGTGGCCTCGAGGGGGCTGAAGGGGACCGAGCAGGGCCAAGGGTCCTGGTGGCTTCCGTTCTCAGGGTCCAGGTGATCACAGCTGTAGGGGTTTGTGGAAAGGAGGTTTCCAGCCTCAAACCCAGTCTCGGTGAGGAACAAACCTTTCCCGTCACTCTCCCGGTCCAATGTCAAGGGCAAAAACTGTTGCGGGTCTTCCGTCCTTTCCGTGTGAGGTTTCGGGATGATGGGGTGTTCACCGGGCCCCTCCTCCATGTGAAGTTTGCCCGTCTGAAGCTGATTCTCCAGTTCTGTGACCAGCCTTTTGATCTCCAGCTCATCCTCCGACATGGCACTCAGGAAAGAAGGCACGCTGTAGTCGGCCACCCTCTTAGGGCCGTGGGCATCCAGATACCTCTTGGCTTCTGGCTTGTCCTCTGGGAGGCTATGGAACTGGGAGAGTTCGTCCGGCAAAATGGGGGGGCCTTCCTCCATCAAGGCCCAGCCCTTTTCGTGCAGGAAGGAAGAGTAGTGCGGCTCAAAGGGCGCCATTTTGCCAAGCTGGTGCCCAGGGCACTCGAAGGGGACATAACTGGCCTTGCTGGAAGCTGCACCCTCATACAAGGCATCATCAAATGCGGGCGAAGGGAGCTCTCCAAAGACCGAGGAGGAATCGAAGCCGAGCGGGGTGGAGACAGCGGCTGGCTCATTCTCGGCTCTATAAGGCACTGTCTGGTGGGGCTTCTCCTTGAACGAGCTGGCCTCCAGGTCCCCCTGGCACAAGTAAAAGCTGGCGCTGGGTGACGGCTCCATGGACACTGCCCCTGAGAAGAGGGACGAGGGCTCGCAGCGGTCGGACAGTCCCTTGCAGTCGGAAAACATTCCAGCGACGTCCACCGGCGCGACCGGCCCTTTACCCGCAATCCTGGCGCCAACGGGAGTGTTGCTGAAAGAGCCGACGGGTGCCATGAACTCTGCTGGTTTCCTCAAGTCCTTAGTGTCCGCCTGTCTGTAGCTGGCGCTCCCATCGCTGGGGAGGCCATGCGGGCCGAAGGAGGGGCTGTCCATTTGTTCTTCCTCTTGGCATTTCGAGGTCTGCCCATGATAGGAAGGGAAGGGCTGGGCGTGTCGCTTCGCTGCCTGCCCGCCTGGGTCGGTCTCTAAGGCTGCCGCTTCGGCCCGGCAGCCGTCACGGGGGCAGCCCTTGCCATACTCTGCTGACTCTTTGGGGCCAAGGGGCACACTGGAGCCATTGTCGAGGGCACCCTTGGTGTGAAGCGGCTTCTCCTCGGCGTGGAGCCAAGCTCCGTCTTCGTGGGCGTAAGGGACCCGGGCGACGTTCAGACTCTCCCTCCGAGAGGCCTTGAAACCCACAGGGTGGGGTTTGGCTGGGTGGCTCCCTGCCGTTTCCTTCCCAAGGATCACCTGCCGTTCTCTCGCAAGGGGCCAGGCCTGTTCGGAGCTTCTCGGCAGGAGCCTCTTCCTCGGCTCGCTCTCCTTCTCGGTGTCCGAGTCTGCCCGCTCCGTGCTCGTCGGGGAGCTGGTGCTGGTTTCGCTGGAGATGCTTGTGCTCTGGCAGCTGCTGGCGGACGACCGGCTGCTTCTCCTCCAGGCTCCTCGGGCCAGGCGCTCCTCCTTCCTCCTGGGCTCCTTGCCGGCGGCTCTTGGGGGCTCTTCCCCCCCAAGACTCCTCCTGGGGCCGAACCTCCAGGGGGGCTCCTTCTCCTTCTCCCGCCCACCCCTCCCTGGGCGCCTCCTGCCGAAGCTACTCCTCAGCCGCCCGTTGAGCCTGGAGCCCAGCCTCCTTCGGCAGTGCCGCTTGGCGTATTCCACTCTTTCGTCGTCGGACTCCGAGATGTATTCATACTCGCCAAACTTGCTGTCCTTCATTTCTGGAACCAGGCGGTCCGCAAGCAAGGAGAAGGACATGACTTCGCCCCCTTTGGTCTGCAGTTGGTGGAGCTTGTTTTTCTGCTGGACAATTTTATGAATGAGCTCCTTGCTCCAAGTGCCGCTCCGCAGCTTCTGCTTCTTGGTGTCTTTGATGTTCCCTTTGGCTGCCATGGACCTGCTGGTAGACCTGAGTCGGTTCACGGGAAGAGACACGCTGCTCTTCGGCTGCTTGGGGGCTGGTGTTACTTTAGCTCCCTGTTTCCTGTGCAGAAGGGTGCTACTCCTGCCCTCTCGCTGTCCTCCCTTTGCTTGGGCCCCTGAATCCCTAGGCTCCCCACCCAACATCTTGGGACCCACCCCCTGACTCTGAGATAGCTCTGTGCTGCTCGGTGTTTCGAGACTGCCCTCCCCGTGGACAGGAAGCCAGCTCATCCCTCCCTCCTTAGGGCCGTGTTGCTTCCCAGAGGCCTTGTCTTTGGACAGATCTCTGCCAGGGTGATTGTTGTAGCAGCTCAATGTTCTGACGTTCTCCTCGGTGTCCGTGTGCTTCGTCTTCTTCCCTGAAGGCAAGTCCTCTTTCGGTTTATAAGGCATCCCCCCACTGGTGACCTTGACCGAGGCCAGTTCCTCATCAGCAAAGACGTCAATGAAGCTGCTGTCAATCTCGGGGTTGTCCGACTGGTACCCAAGTCCGTTTAGAGCCTCTGTGATCAAGCTATCCAACTTGGCATCATCAATTTCCAAGTCGGAAGCGCTGAGCGGCAAAGGGTTGGTAGCTGGGCCGCTGAGCGAGTTTGCCCTCAGTGAGTCGTCCTTGGGCTCCCCTTTGCCCTCTTCGTCCACCAGGAAATCGGACACCTTGCTCAAAGCCATCAGCTGCGAATGAGGCTCAAGGGGCAGGAGGAGCCCCGGGACCCCTGGCGCCTGCTTTCCGGGGGCGGGAGAGGCGGGGGGCTGTCTCCTGCACTCGGTTCCATGGGGAGCCTCTTTGGCCTGACTCTGGAGCACCAGGTGGGAACTGCAGAACTGGCGGTGCTCCAAAAAAGAGGAGAGGTTGCTGAAGTTGTGGTCACATTGTTTGCAGGTCAGGAAGACGTCCAGCTGGTCCAGGCTGGCGCTGCTCAGGGAGCTGGCCAGGAAGTGATGGGAGGAATAAGGTGGAGGAGGCAGTTCGGCTTCCAAGCTCTCCAGGCCCCCTTTGGAGGCCTCCGGGCACGGCTCGTGGACGTGGCCCTTGGCCGGGAGGGCTCTGTGGAGGAGCTCCTGCTTCGGGGTGCCCTGGGTAAGGAGAAGGGCCTGGACCGGGTCTGCCGCCGGGCACTGGGCTGCGCCAGAGCTCAGCGACTCCGAAGCCTGGAAGGGCTTGTGGCTGCTCTTTGGATGGCACGGGTGGTGGAAGAAGGTGGGCGTGTTGAGGGGAGCACCGTCTTCAAAGCGGCTGGGGCTGCTCGAGGTGGGTGAGAGAGAAGAGCAGGTACTGCTGCTCGGGGGGTTGAGGGCAGGCGATGGGACGGGTGACTCATCCGGGGACGTGGTCAAAGCTGATGGTGGCACCGTGAAAGCTGGGATGGAAGGGAGGTGGGAGTCGGCGGGCAGGCCAAAGAACCTGGCCTTGCTGGCCCGGGGAGTGCCCGCCCGGGGAGACTCGGCCTCCTTTGCCCCTTCAAAGCAGAAAGCGTGGGCCGAACTACAGGGCTGCGGGTCTGGATCCTGCCTCTGCGCGAGGGTCCCCTCCCCGGCCAAGGGGGGTTTGCCCCCTGCGTAGCCGGCAGGGCTCTTCTGCGCCTTTCCACTGCCCTCCCATTCCGAGGCCTCCAGGAGGAAAGGCAGCTTCTGGCCGGCCAGCTTCCTCGGCCGCTCGATCCTGCTCTGGCCGGCCAGCACTGAGGCGAGCTGGAGATGCGGCCAGGATTTCTTCATGTGCTGCCACGACTCCAGCCCCGAAGGGCCCCCGAAGGGCTGCTGGCTGCCCAGAGGGCTCAGGTAGGCGGTGGCGCCCTCTTCCACGGGGGCGTGGGGCTTCCGGCTGCCCTCCCATGGCTGCAGGAGCCGCCCGTGGGCTTGAGCCACGGAGGGAAGGGTCTTTTCGAAAGGCACGGAGCTGGGAGGGAGGCCGCCGGCCGGAGGGTCACTACAGGCTTTGTTCTGAAAGTGCACTTGGGGGAGAGGGATTGGGGGCACCGCCCTCCACAGAGCGTTTCCAGGGTCCAGGGTCCTTTGGCTGGCGATGCCCTCTTTCAAGGAGGGCGGCCGCTTACTAGAGACCTGGAAGCCAGCGGGGAAGAGGGCTGGGTTTTCTTGGAAAGTGCTTGAGTTTTGGTCCATAGCACCAAGAGGAGAAATAGCACCATTGTGGTCAGTGGGGTGTTCCTTCCTTCCCTTGTAGCCTGGCAAAGGCCCCGGGGCCTGCGACGGGAGGAAGGAAGGGGGCAGAGAGGGCAGCCCACAGGCCCGGCTCTCTAGGGCCAAGCCGTTGCAGGACCCGAGGGCGAGAGCATCCTCTTTCCAGTCCCTGGAGGAAGAATGGAAGGCAAAAGCACCATGAGACGCCTGGCCGGAGGCCAAGGGGAGGTCCACGTAATCTGCAGCAGCGTCATCTCCGGGGAAAGGATCCGTCGCCGGGCTGGGCGTCGGCTGGAAGGGGCAGTGAAACGACAGGGCCGCCAGAGAGTGCGCGCTGGGCTTGCCGCTCTCCGGGAAGGGGCAGGGCTTCGGGGCCACGAGTCCGTTGCTGTTAGCACCTGGGAGGTTTCTGTCTGGTGATGGCCACGCGTGGCTCCCATTATCCAAATAATGCAACGGCCTGTTGGGGCTGGGACTTTCGTGAGGGAGGCTGAGGGGTGGCTGGATCTTGGCAGCGTGGGTCAACCGCGGGGTTGCTATCGATGAGGTATAGTTGCTGGAGAGGTGGGTGGAGGCAGCCTCCGGGAAGCCTCGGGCAAAGCCTCGGTCCTCCTGTGGGAGCTCTGCCTCTCTTTCGGGGACGTGGAAGTGGAAGCGCCCGGAGACGCCCCCGCCCTGGGCGACGTCGGCCTTCTTGGGAGGGGTGACCTTCTGCTGCGGGTAAGCAATGCCAATGGTGGGGCTGGGCCGGGCGCTGCTGATGGCGAGCCGGTAGAGCTGCTGGGGGCCGGCCCGCTCCCCTTTCCCCGGCCGCCGGGTCTTCTCCCTGGCCCGGCTCTTCCCGGGGGGGGACTGGGGGCTCCCTTGGACCGCACCCCAGGGGCCGTCGCTGAGGAACTTGGGCCGGTTCTGGAGGGACTTGAAGTCTATTTTGCCGGCTTGCTGGGGGCGGATCACAGCTTCCCGCTGGTTGTGAGGCTCTTTGTCCTTGACGCCGACTGCGCTGAGCCCATTCTCAGTCCTGGACTGTGGACTGCGGGACTCCAAACTGTCCAGAAACGAGCCGCCCAATTCACCGACATCTTTCTTGCCAAACGGCTTGAAGCTTCTGTCTTTGTTCGGGACGCCGGCCTCAATATCACTGGTGGTGAAATCATGATGGGTCTCTCCCATCATGGCGCCGAGGGCCAGGCCCGAAGGGAAGCGGCTCGTCCTCTCGGCTCGTCAGCACAAGAGCCGCCCATCGCAAGCACGAGCCATCATCCTCCGGCCGCTGGGAGGCACCTCAACCTCTTGGACAGCTCCCGACGCCATCCTGCCTACAGGACATGTTTAGCCTCTGAACGGCAACGAGCGTCCATCTGACCTGCAAAAGAGAATGGCCCCGTGAGTGTTTGGAAGGCCCGCGAGTTGACCTGAGCAATCTGATCAAGCTCAGCATTTAGTATATTCAACAACGCAATGGAAGGACTTGGAATCTGCCAAGGAAGGCCGAGGCCAAAGACGGACAAAAAACGTGCTCACGGAACTAAAAGCTTTGCATCAACTTTGGTTCAACTGTTTTTAAAAAGTGACACCTTTTCAATATTTTTGTTTAAAAGACTCTGAATGTTAAAGAATGCATTTATCTTTCTCTACTTGTGCATCTCACGGGGATGAGAAATTGTAAATAAATACAGTAGGACCTCCCCATAACTGCCGGGGATGGGTTCCAAGACCCCTGTGGATACTGAGAACAGTGGATAATAGCAAACACTGTGTGTCCGTGCGTGTGTGTAACAGTAAGAGGAAAAAAACCTAGAAAAATTTGTTCACCTGTATTATTAGAAGTAGTCAGTAACAAGTAATCCTAGCATGACATCTGGCTTCATCCAGCGGCCTGTTCTGGTAATACATGTGAAAAAAGTTTTCTGGATGTTTTTTATTTTAATATTTTTAATATTTTCTGACCGTGGTTAAGTGAAACTGTAGATACTGATCCTGTGGATATTGGGGGGGGGGTCATACTGTAGTCAAAAGGAAGGAAAGAAGGGTTTGTTCGCCCTGGACAGCTGCCTGTGGTGGATACCTCGGCCGGAACCATGCCTGCCCTTAGGGAGGGCGTGCTAACTGCCTCCTCAGGTGGCTGTTGGTGACAGACACAGCTCCCACCCCTGCTGTTCATGCTGACCCCCCCCCAGGCAGTCTCCCCTCTGGGCCTCTGGGAGGGGGACGCCCTGTCCTGCACCTCTAAATGAGCCTCCCCCCCTCAAGAAGCAGGCTTCTGTCCATGGGGCGGAGAGGTGCCTTTTGACTCAGGCAGCGAAGCCCTGGGAGCCAGCCTGAGAGGGCGGGTGCTGTCTGCCCACCCCATTTCCTGGGCCTTAAAAGATATTTTTCTTAGCAGCAGATGATGATGACAGCTCGGCCCCGCCTGCGGCTTCTTGTCAGAGGAAAGCTCTCTTCCCCCTGCCGCTTTGATGGGGTCAGCCTGGCCCTGGGGGTTCCTCTCCCTCCCACCCAGCCCGCCGGGAAAAGGCAGCTCTGCCCTTTGCCAGCCTCGACTGCCACTGAACCCCAAAGGGCTGCGTGGAGTCGGCTGGCACGAGGAGGGCTGGCCCCAGAGGCGTGAGATCGGCCCGGGTCTTCTGGACTAGACCCAACGGGGACCTCCGGCGCCCGAGCGGGTGCTCCGGTCTCTCCACTCCTCAGCTGTGGGAAGCCTGGCTCACAAATAATTTCCAAAGTTAGAAAGGTGTGGCTTCCAGGCAGACATAGGATGTGAAAGCTCTTGATTTAAAACAAACACACATATAAGCAGGAAACAAACAAACTCCTGCACGCCCACCTTATTGCACCTTGAGGAGTGGATCCCTGGAAGACCTCTTTCACACCCTCAGAAACTGCAGCAGCCCTGCTTCTCTTTCAGACGAATAGGGGGAGGGAGGGGGGCAGGCGCTGCAAGGGGCCCCTCGCCCCTGGGTTGAAACAGACCAAGACTTGGGAACTTTTTCTCTCTTTTTTCTTTTTCTTTCTTTCTTTTTTTTTTTTGAGGGGTGGGAGGTGGGAGAAGGCCCAGGAAGAGGTGTACACATCCCTCCCCCCCAAAAAAAAACCCCAAGCTTTTAACCCTCCCCCCCCCAAAAAAACCCCAAGCTTTTAAACTGGGGTGCCTCAATCAGAATTATTCCAAAACAGAGCTCAGGGTAGACCCTTTGCCAGCACCGCGGGATGGGATGGCGAGAGGATGGCCTCCTTTTCCTCGGTGCATCCATCCTGATTTGAACAAGAAAAGAATTACCCCACAATCTCCACCCGGAGCGGAAAAGCAAGCATTAAAAGCTCTTTCTCCAAAGCGAGCAATTAGAGTAATTAGAGAATACAATTACAGTAGCCTTCGTTAACTTGATGCTCTTCTTGTTTGTTGGACTACAATGCCCATCACTTCCAGTAGTGTAGGAAAGAGGGGGGTTGTCCTCCCATTTGCCTGGGAGTCCAGCCCGTTAGAAAAGGCAGCTTCCAATGTTGTGCGTTGTGAAACTGACAGAAGGCGACTGGATGAGACTGTCACCACCCGCTGATTCTTTTTATTAACTGGTTTCAAGTTCAGCATCTAGATTAATTTAAAAACCTATGTTTCTCCTTTAAAAAAAGAGGGGCAGGGGGGTCATCTCAGCTGTCCTTCCGCAAGCAGGCAATACCAAGCTTTCCCTGTGTGACCGGCTGCCTGAGTGGGGTTTGTTAAATGAATGTCCATACTTTCCTGCTTTGAATGGGGTTTTTTTGTGTGTGTTGTTTTTGTTTACCATTTTTTAGTGTGTTATTCGTTTGATCCTTTTCAGTTATTTGTATACTCACTGTTGTTAGCTTTAAATATTGCCCTTTAAAGATATTCGCCAGTTTGGGTGGGGTAGACATATTTTGAATGAATGAATGAATGAATGAATGAATGAATGAATGAATGAATGAATGAATGAATGAATGAATGAATGAATGAATGAATAAGGGTTGTTGGGCTTCATGATAAGTGGGCAAAACAGCCTCAGAAAACTCACTGAGTGGATTAAAACGACAGCCAAAATGTTTGCAGGGGAAGCAAGAAGAATCCAGGTAAAGACAGGAAAGTGTACTTCTCTGGATGGAAGAGTTCTGGGCACCATAAGGGAAGGCATTCGAAAAGGGGGAGGGGGCTGCTCAAGTGGCATAAATCAGTGCAATGAAAATAAGCCCACCTGCCCACCCACCCCCACACAAGTTCCTTATTCTTCCGCATCAGCTGGTCATACCTTGGAAAATGCCCGTCCCTCAGCTACTGCTGGGTCTCAGCTTAACTTCCCCGGAAACAGGAGTGCCTTGGCTGTAAAGAAAGTGAAAAGTATGTCAGGAGGTTTTGTTTGGCTTGGCAGCCACTGCCACGGAGCAAAAGCTCCTCCAAGCCCTCGAGCCCAGGCTGGACGTGAAAGGCGTGTTCTCCCCGGGGTGGCTTGAGCTGCCAGAGAAGCGTGCAAGGAACAGGGGCTCCCGGGGGAGCAATGCACAGAGGCTCTGGGCTGCCGGTCGGCTCCAAAGGACTCTGCGCAGCTGGCACCCGGGGCCCGTCCCGCAAGGGAGCCTGGCTTTCTCCTGGCCCAGCATTGGTCCCCCGCCCCCTTGAGAGCATCTCTCCTGATCCTCATCCCTTGGGGGAGTGGCCCCTGGAACACCCCCAGGAGAAAGAAGGGCAACGGAGGGCACCTTCTTTCATAAAATGGTGAACGTTAAGGTGCAAAATTAGAACAGAGGTTCATAATGGCAGCAGGTATACAATATACCTCAAGATACCTCCCATCTAAAGAATGTTTGTAAAAAACCCAGCTCCGTTTGTTTGGTTCTGGACAGTTACTAAAGGGCTTTACACAGCAAGCAACATTTTTCTCAGCTTGAGGCTTTTTGGTACGTATTGTGGGTGGGAAAACCCACCAGCCCCCCAAACTATAAGGACTGGTGTGCAAATCATTATCTACCGTGTGAATTTGCTCCTGTGCCACTGAAGGTTTACACCCTGGCCAAAAGCTGCCTAGAGCAAGGCTGCAGCTCCTTTGAGGGACTGTAATAAAGAGTGAGTTATTTTGACATTTGTTTAAGAAATATTTATCTCTCATTTCTCTTCTAAACGTTGCCATTCGCTAAGGAATTATCTGTTACCTAAGTATACTGATAAATCTTCTAAGGTAAAAGTATATCTCAGATGCTGCCAGAAAAGGTACATTTAAGAACGCTTCCTAAATTATCGGCTGCATTAATCTTAATTACTTCAGTAGAAGTGGAATCTCGTATTAGGGCGAGTTAAATTGAATGGGCGTTTGTCTTTATCATATCACCTATTTGAGATGGTTTAAAGAAGATAAGGAGAAAAGGGACTTGGGATGCAAGGGCTGGTGGGGGGGGAGGCAGGAGGGCTGGGCAGCCCTCCAAGGGAGGTTGCCGGAGGGAGGGAAGGGAAGGGTTAGG